AACCCCGCCCATCTGCCTGATGTACTCTGGACAGTCAGGCCGTGCGTGCGACACGATGGTATACCCTTCAGGGAGAGGCAGAGAGGCCTCCTGCGTTGGGCGAAGCCAAGTTTCTTGGAAGTCAGATGGGTCATGTGCGCACCGCGCCCGGCCCCAACACTCCCGCCTCTCTTTCATTACTCTACACATCTAAATCCCCATATCCCCCATGGTTTTCATATCACTCCACCCAATTTGACGCCGGGCACATGCCTAGAACCCAACCCTCAATTCCAATGTAATCTTGCAGCCGGCACCCTGACCTGATCCAGCTCCTTCCCCTGTCTAGGTGACCTTTTGTACACTAGATGCTCTGGAATATCAAGTCAGTTAAAAGGTCTGGTTTTGAACGCGTCGGCGTACGGCAAACCAACAGTCTGACCATTGTCGTCACGAATATTGACAACCACACTTCCCTGGGAAAAGGTGAGCTCAATGACAGATGGAAGTATTTGCACCCACGTCTTCCATATGCGCCACCTGTTGTACCGTCCCGTATACCGTCTGCCCGGCGCCATTCCAGTAAAACACTCGGGTCCCGGGCTAGGTAAAGAAAGGAATTAAGGCTGGAATATTAACAGAGTAGCGGTAACTCACCGGGAACATATCCATGGCCAAAATAGTAGGAAAGGTGGCTGGGATGTAAGTATGTCGCTTTCTTTCTGAAGGCTAGACTTTGAAGAGCATCCTTCTTGAAGAGTTTATAAGGGTTGAGGAAACAATTCCAGAGTCAGAGACGTCGATCGAATACGACACCAAGAAGTCTCGGACAAGATCTCATTTCATGGCTTTGATTCAGTAACAAGAGAACAAGGTCATTGGGGGAAGAAGCATGCATAACACACCACAGGATTAAAGGGGCCAGTAGCCGGCACCATGCGCTCCACGCAAACCAATATTTTTGATTTGCCACCTCTTCTCTGCCTCCCACCCTCAGGGCCTTGCCCACAGCAATGACCAGCTGCCTGTTGTGGCATGTGGCAAAAAATTTGCATTAAGGACGATCTGGGGTCCCTATGTCAAACTACGTACAATTTTTTGATATCCTTCGTAATGCCTGTGTTCCAATGGATGTTTCTTTTCAGCTAATCTTCCACTATGGAACACATGGTGGAGTTAGTGGAGTTTCCACTGTGGGTTCCATACTGGAACGTTTAAACCCACCCACGTTCATGGAACCCATCATGGAAGACCCAGGAACACGCACTGCACATTTTCCTTATTAGCCTTCCTGACAGCAGCAGTGGCATTCACATAGGATATTAATCTGATGGATCCGCTGCCTCATGTCCCTGGATTATACTTAGCACCTCATAAGCCCTTGCGGCCCAGTCTAGAAGATGACATAACCCAAGGTTATGTAATATCCTCTGCGGGCAATGAGATCCGGTAAAAATGGTTTGGCTGTCACTAACAAGGCCTCCATCAGAGAGAAGGACATAGGTAATGGAGCTTTGACGGAGAGAACTCAGGAAGGAGTATGAGTTAACGTGGCGACGTGTTGGCTAGGGTACATAATTGGCCGGCCCGATAAACTTGATACCATCACTTGCCAATCCTTTCCACGTGCCAAGCCGTTCTGTAAGCGCAACCGGCGGAGAAATACATATCCGGGTATGACATCTCCGCCGATGCTAACAAACCATTTCACGTGATTATTACTCGTATGTGATTGATTGCGCGCTACGCTGGCAACCCCGCCATTCCAAGGGTGATGAAAAAGTTAATATTTACAAACTTGTTGACTGAAAATAACTGGATAAGGATGCTTTCGACTGGCCCACACCCAAGATTCACCGGAAGAAATGAGAAAGTCTGGTTTGAACTTGGAACCTCCGCATTTCAAAGTTTGGTCTTGTTAGAAAGGGAAGTTTCAGAATTTGGCGGGCCATCCGTCAGATTAGGGCGCTTTACGACCCACTATCAAGATAGCGGGCATTAATTTTCATCGGCAATTCAAACTCAGATCGACCAGCCTGTCTATCGACAGGTTTACCTTCATAGACAGGCTGGTGTAACGGTGCGCTCCCGCGCCTCTCTATTTTACATCTTTCTATTTCCTTTTCCAACCACACACATTCCTTACTCGTCATCCGTCTTACGCTACCTTTCTCCTTGATGCCCCGGCATCCCGTATCATTGATCCTTTCCTTTATTCACATGCTACCGTACTTACTTATATACTGGACTGTACGTAGATAGACCTCGGTCAATACTATCGTTACGCCACTTACTTTGTTGCGACCACCAACCAGCCGTGTACCGGAACTAGCTCTCGACGTCTAGCCGACAGCTCTCCGTTACATCTTTTTAAGTGCTCGACTCTTTGGCTACTCCGCTGGTTAACGTCTGGTCTGATCAACCGAACCTACCGCTCTGTCGCCAACAATACCTGCACCAAGAACTATGGCTACGTACATTCCTGGTCATCATACCCGCGCCGCCACTCGTGCTGGCGCCTTCTCCCCTCCTGCTCCCCTTTTTAATCCTTCCCCCATCTCGTTCGGGTCGATTGCTTCTGGGGACATGGGAGAACCCCTCGTCGACGTTTCGACAGGGAATGCCGCTGCTCCTGCAGCGAGACCAACCGGCGCTTCGGCGTCGGGGGAATCCGTCACTTCGGTGGCGAGACAGCCCAGCACTCGTGCTGGAGAATTTTCTTCGGATCTACCGTTGCTCGTGAGCGACGTGGATTTCGGCGTGCGTGGAGATCTGCACGCGCAGGTCGAGAACGTAGATGATGGGGGCTGGACTCCCGTCACGCGTAAGACATCTCGATCGCATCGCGACGAGAGTGATTCCAATAAGAATAGAAATAGTACCTCTTTCAATGGGAATACCTCTGAGTCCGAATCCACCGTTGCTCGGGCGACGCAAGAATTGAGTGTTGATGAGCTCACGACGCTCGCGCACCGCCATGAAGCTTTTGCCGCCCAATTGCGTTTGAAAATTGGACGGAAATCTGTTCCCGAAAATCAAGGAGTTAGTGTTTCAGCTAACAGTCGGAACAGTCGGGAGAGCCTTATCTTTGATGAAAAGGCAGTGGGATCTGCAGGCCCCACATCCCCGAGCCATCGGGCTACCGAAGGGGAAATCGAGAGTGAGGATGACCTCATCTCGTTTGAGCCAATTCCCGGTCCTTCGGAAAATAAAGGCAAAGGCCCTGACCCCAGGAACTGGGGCGAGATACCATCATTCTTGGGTTCTCTGTGGATGATCTTCAAGCGCAACGCGATGCGCTGAATAATTATGCCGAGATCAACCGAGTGATCAAGCAAGAGGAAGTTACGCCTCACCTGGAATTTTCAGACGAAGTTTCAGCTAGGCCTTCCTCTCCCAAGGCTAAGAAACAGCATAAGCGCTCCAAGAGTCCCAAATCGAAAGGGACTCAGAAAGACCAGGTTGAGAAACCCACCGTGGTTCAACCCGAGCCTGCTCAACAGCCTGAGCCCGCTACACCTGTTGACCCAGTTCAACCCGAGAGGATCAACAAGAATGAAAGACCTACGGCTGCTTCCAGCCATGATGCGAACAACGATCAAGGCCAGAAGTCCGGACTTACTTTAGATGATCTTTATGCTTTGCTGTCCAAAAGGATCGGCGAGCTCGAAAAGAAGCAGCGTAAGGATGATCCGCCTAAGACCGAGGCAGGTCCGAAAGATACATCAACTCCCACGAAGGTGCAGAAGGCGCGCGACAGACTTATGTCGAGGGGAGTTACTCCGGGAAGATTAGCGGCAGAGAATTTCTTTGCTAAAGTGTTAAAAGAAGACGCACCTAAGGCCGTCTGTAGCTCAAATCACTCATCGAACATACAGTGCCAACCGCCACCTTTTCGCAACCCCTATGGAGAACTTTTGAGAAAGAATTAGACCTTGAAACCAAAATTTAGCCACGAAACCGATGAAAAGAATGCGATTGACGTAGAGAACGTGTTTTCTTACGTAAGCGGTCATTTTTTTCGGCCAAAATGCACTTTTTCGTCCTTTTTGGGCCTTTTTACGATCAAATATTTGGCCATTTTGTAAATAAAATATGTAAAAATACGAAAAAATATGGAATCGACTGCTTTGATGAGTGCCCAAGTGAAGAAAAATATTCCACACGTTGATCCGCCGGTGGTTAAATTTTCTGCGGGTCTCAGAGCACTCATTCCATGCCGATGAAGTTGATTTCACCAAGAAATCCATACCTATTCCACTTCTGAACGAGAACAAAGCAAAATACTTAGAACTGCCAATACAGAAAATATTAACTTCTCCCTCTTTATAAAATTATCCATGTCTGTCTGAAGCCTTTTTAAACTCCGTTTTTGGGAGATAAAGCCCGAGACTTTGGAAGCGCTGGGTCCAGACCTTTGGAAGTGCTCAATAAACGGCACTTCCTCGGGGCTTTTGGCCCCATGATCAACTTTAAGCGCACGCGCGTCTATAAAACTGTACACAGTGCCAAACTCCTTTGAACTCCGCTCTTGGGAGATCAGGCCCAACTCTGTGGACTATCACCAATAAACCTCGGGGATGGCGCCGAAACTAGCGCCGATGCGTCCACGACCAATTGCGCGTGTCCGCCGGCCTGAAGCTTTCAAAACTCCGATGTGTCCTTTATTTACGGCCCGCCGATAGCTCAATACTTCTGCGATCCGCACTGCCGGCTTATGTGACACTGAGTGTTTGGGGCCAGACTCGGAACGCTGCCGTTGTTCTCCAACGACCATGCACTTTTCTGTCCGATACGCTCAACGATCTCTGTATATTCCCCATTGAATAGTAGTTCATGAACTTAAATCTAATCCCGCTGAACTTGAGCACTCAGCCCACCAAATAAATTCCGACATTTTGACAAGACACTGAAGGTTCAGTTGAGAGAGGATGGGAGGTCGCGAAGCGGCCGACCAGCCTCTTGTAAGTACACCAATCATCCACACAGTGTGAGGGACTAACCACCCAACTCGATCACCCGGCTTAGTGGCTCAGTTGGTTAGAGCGCTACCATCAAATGATAGTGTCGCTGGTTCGAATCCTGCCTAAGCCAACATTTTCCCTTTCAAAGTTTGCCTTTCCTGCCAGGTCACATGATCTCAACATACAGTCGAACCCCTCTTAACCCATACCTCCCGGTTACACCCTCGAGGTATGGGTTATGAGGGTGTATGGGCTAGGAGAGGCCCATGAAATTAGGCGAAATTTTTTAATGTAATTTTTTTCTACGGTGTACATAGATATTTTGGGTATATCTCGCTCCTGGCAATACGTTGCTCCAAGTCATTTCGGCGGGGACCAATGTGCTTCCGTATTGCGGCAAGCCCTTCCTTGAGTACACTCAGCGCTACGACGGCGGCCATGGGAGGATCGGAAGATTTCTTTTGGTCTGTACGAGATATTTACTTTGTGGGTGTAAAGTGGGGTGAAGTTGTTATTTCACAGTCCATACTAGCTACGTATTTATACCAGAGAGTGGCGACTAAATAAGTAACCTGAAATGAATTGTACAGCTATGAGTCACAAGTAACCAAGCAATGCATGTGGAAGAATCAGATGGATGAGATGGTTGCACAGCAGTAAGACTGATACCATGTGGGTGTAGAACAGTAGAAGTGATAAAATGAAAATAGATATACCGTATGCGTATGTGAACAGAACGGATCAAACTCCAACATTTACGGCACAGTTACGAGACTTCCGAGACCTCCGAACTGTCATTTCTCGGCCGAAATGTATGGGATTTTTGCCTCAAAGGGGTATGGGTATGGGCTATGGCGGACCTATGGGTTATGCCTACAAACGGGGCTGGTTTTTCGAAAATCCCATGGGGTATGAGGCGTTATGGGTTGATAGAGGCATGGGTTAAGAGGGGTTTGACTGTATTAACATAAAGGGGTGGTCGATCACAACAAGCATCCAATGATTGGCAGAGGATTTGGTGACATCTATCAAGTTACATTTAGGCCCTGATCGGGAACTCTAGAATCGGCTAGAATCCCCTTGTAAAAACTTCTATAGAATCTCGGCTAGAATATTTTGTCACGCCTCGTCACTCTTCAGTCCTGACGCCCACTAGCCACTACAAAGTCTCTCATGCCTCCCCGCAAGACCGACGGCGACGACGGCAAAGCCATTTGGCTCGATCCGGAGGTCATAGCGCTTCTCGACGGTCTTATTGACAAGAAAAGCACACACCAATCTGGCAATGGGTGGAAATCAACTGTATGGCCGGGTATTGTAGCGCTAGTCCAAGCTGCGAATCCAGCGGCCGACCCAAAGAAATACCAGGCGAAATGTGTCTCTAAAAGCAACTATGTACGCAGCCACTCTCGCGTTTGCCATCCACGTACTGATATTTTTGCAGCTTCAGAAATGCCTAGGCCAGTACCTGTTCGTCAAGAAGTACAGTGGAGTTGGGTGGGACGATGAACAGAATCATGCTACGGCCACTGCAGAATTCATTGAGAAGTTTATCAAGGTGTGTTTCCCGGCCTCCTTCCAGCGTCCGCATGGATTATAGTTTTTGTTTGACGCACTCCATGATCTTCTTGTCACTGCGGGACCAACGACCCATCGTTTTTGTAGCTCTTTCACACATATATACCTTTCATCTTCCTACGCGTTCCTCAGCTTTTAAATCCGTCTAGACGCCGCTGATAAACCCACACAGGCAAACGGCCCCAAATATACGAAGTGCTTCAAAAAGCCTTGCCCTTTCTACACCAAACTCAACGAACTGTTCGATGGCTTGGTAAACAAAGCAACAGGGGAGCATGTCGTCCACCTTGGTGGCGACAAGCGGGAGTCGGGAAAGAAGTCTAATGCACCGAAGAAGGCGCTGGCCCTTGCAACGGAGGAGAAGTCTGTAGCTCCACTCGGGGACGACTCGGAGAAGGAGAATGATGTGGTGGAGGTGGACAAGGGGGAGGGAGGTAGCAAGGCAAAGGGGAGAGCAGTGTTCGACGACGAGCTGTCTATGGTGCGCCGCTGTCAAGTTTCCTATTCTTTCTTCTATTCCCACCAGTCTAACTTCGACGCAACCAAGTCCCCCCGCGAAAAGGCGACTAGAAAGCGGGAGCGTGCGATAAGCGACGACGACGACGACACCCCACAACCCCGACTCCATAAACGTCAAAAATCCGACTCCAGTACTCGCAGCACGGCACGTCGCAATGCCGAAGCTGGGTCGCAGCTCGCGAAATCTGTCGAGACGCTCTCAGCTGCCATGGGGAAGCCCATCATTACTTCGGAGGATTTGAGCCACGTCGACAAGGTCATTGACATCCTCAAAGACAAGAATCTCCTCCCGCCTGATCCCAAAGGACAACTTTTCCGCATCGTCTGCCAGAAGCTATCGCGCGATCCGGGTCTGGCTCGCTGTCTGATTATCGAGGAAGATTACACACGCCGTAAGGGCCTCTTGGAGGGCATACTTGAGGACGCTGGTATCATTCTGCCTGACGACCCCCTGGTTCCAAATGCCGATTGTACGTGTCTTTGTTTGTGCCGCTAGGCCCTTTTCTGACCACGTTGTGTGCAGGAATATCATTATTATCTACGTTGAGGTCCCAATGATGCCGCCTCTCCGCCAATCGTTCGCCAACTCCTCTTTCTCATACTATTTTTGCAGAAATACTGTCGAACTTGACGACATCCGCCGCCGATGCATCAATTCCAAGTGTTAATTAGTACGTGGTCTCTCCGCCCTTGCATTCAATGTCTCAAAGTGTTGTCAGTCAGGTCTATTCTTTGTTCTGCACTGCCTCTGTTGTACTGGTCTCGTATTGTACCGCTGTTGTATCGTTCTTGCACACTGTACTCGTATACACATGAATCACAAACAACATTTCATTCATCGCAGATCCGGATGCTCCAGTATGTATTCATCCCACATCACTTGGGCGATGCGATCACGATGTGCGTCTGCTCTCGTACGCTCTGCAGTGCTCAGGGCTGGTGCGGGGGGTGGCGCCGGCGCGTTGTTATCGTTTCCGGAAAAGAACAGGAGCCCTTCGACATCATACTCCTCGTCGCCTTCCAAATCATCAATCCCTGCATGCACGCGAAGGAAATTGTGCAGCGCTCCAGCGGCATTAACCATCAAGGCTTGCTGCCGGTACCCCATCTCAGGCGAAGAGGTAAGGACACGAAAGCGACGCTTTGTGACACCAAAAATGCGCTCTATTACGTTTCGCAGCTGCACGTGTCGCAAGTTGAAGAGTTCTTCCTTTGTCTGAGGCCTAGGAATCAGTATAGGATCAATATACGAGAAAACAGATCATCATGAAACGGAGTACCGCTGGCCACCACGCTTCCATTCATTCAGATGATAGCGGACACCGCAATATGGTGCAAGAAGGAGGTCGCAATTGGCAAATCCAGCGTCCGCAAGGTAATAGCACCCGTCAGGTAAGGAGAATCCATTCTGCCGAGCACAGTTGAACAGCAGTCCGTCCGCGGCTGTTCCCTCGTAGCCAGCCATGATGAACACAAAGCGCATGGCAAAGTCGCAGGCCGCAAGGCAGTTCTGACTGATATCACCATGACGATCCCGGTACCGAAGGATATCTGCGGCAAGAGCGAAAGCAGAAACATGGACACCGTCGACTGCACCCCGGCAGTATTTGAAGAATGGGTACCATCGGGAATTCGTAAAGATCTTCTCGCGTGTCTCGTTGGTTGGATCTTTCACATATTTCTCGTAGAATGGTCCAGTGACGCATGGATGAGTCGTACAATGTCCATTCAAGATCGCATCCTCGCTGCTTTCCGTGCACGATTTTGGCTTCACTTGTGGCGAAAACACATCCTCAAGCTATCAGCCCGCTACCCGGATCTTTACTCTCCTGCCAGTTCTTTCATATCTCCCCCGAGTTTCCACATTTTCAACCGTCTCTGTGATACGCTAGTCCTCCTCGCTATCATCTATTCGCGCTATTACCCTGCTCAACCATTTTGTCCTTGGTTGCATGGCACCGAGTTTGTCGAGCATTTCTTTGGCCTCGCGCGCATGCTCCTGCCCAACTTCACATACGCGGAGTTTTTAAAGATGGTTCAACACATGGAGGTCCGGCAGCGAATCCTCCTTTCGGGGAAATTCAATCTGAAGCGGGAACGGGATTCTGGCGCCGGCTACATCATGGACTACGACGCGAAGGCTCTGTCTCTGAAAGATCAACAAATTGCGGCTGGTCGAGTTTATGATCATGATTTGAACCAGCTCGCCGACCTGGCCTTTCGCGAGGCCGCGCAAATCTGTAGACAGTTACTTCACATCGCAGCTCCTCTCCCCACCATCGATAGACCCCTCGAACTCGCCCCCCTCGGGTGCAGCCTGCGCAAAAAGAAGGCGAGAACGATGGCCGTAGATTCCGAGTCGGAGCCGGATTACGAAGACGACAGCGATGTCGAGGAAGAGATTGATTACGACTCGGACGACGGCGAGGTCAAGGCAAGCAGTGATGCTTCCGTCTCCGAGATCACTGCAGCCGCTACACTTGACACAGCGCGTTACTCGGCGCTCTACCAAGATCTTGACACGTTCACGGCAGAGTTAAGCGAATCTCAGGCCGACCTCCATGTCGATTCGGAGGCTGCCCCCGTTGCTCTGCCAAAACCTTCCGGTCCCCTTCTCAGTAAGATCCTCGATTCAGACGGGAAGATTTCCATAAAATTGATGGTGCTGTACAAGGAGGCCCTTCAAGCCCATAGTTGCCTTCCTATGACCCTACAATGTCTGTCCCACATAGTACGAAAAAAGAAATCGGGATCTTTAAGGGATCAAGCATCATGCATCATGCATCATCGTTCATAATGGCGAAAAACTCTTGCTCGTTGATCTCCCCATCTTGATCTAGGTCGAATTCTTCTATCATGGATTGTCTGACGTGATTCTGGTGAGTGACTGTGTCTCGAACGTATGCGGAGCAAACCCACAAATCGTCGTCCTCCGGGCGATCTCCTATCTCCTTTGCCACGCGACGGAGGTTTCGCAGAGATATCTTGCCCGTGTTGTCATCGTCAAACAGCTGGAACGCGCGCCGGATCTCG